TGTAATCCAAACTCCGAAGATAGCACCGCAGAGGCCCTGTTGTGCACCTGTTTTTAAAATCCCTAGCCTCTCTTTGAGGTCCTTCCATCTCAGCAGCTAGTGAGCATGCTCACAGGGGCTCATGGTGTGGCTGCACTAAAAGTCATCCAGCCATCCCCTGAGGATGGGCATTTGGGGTGTTTCGAATCTTACTTTCTCACACGGTCCTACCAAGAATCATGTTGCGTCGTTTTGTACGTATGCAAGGGTATCTTTAAGACAAATCCCCAGAAGTGAAATCACTGGGTTAAAAGGTATGTGTGCTGAGCATAGTGGCTCATGTTTGTGATCCCAGCACTTTGGGAGGCTGAGGTGGGAGGATGCAGGAAATCGAGACCAGCCCGGGCAATGTAATGAGATCTCATCTCTATAAAAAACTAAAAAAATTAGCCAGGCGCAGTGGTGCCCACCTGTATTAATGAGGGGTGGCTCACGCCTGTAGTCCCAACTACTCGAGAAGCTAAGGCAGAAGGATCGCCTGAGCCCAGAAGGCTGAGGCTGTGGTGAGCTGTTATTGTGCCACTGCACTCCAGCCTAGGCAATAGAGTGAGACCCCAACTCAAAAAAAAGAAAAAGAAAAGAAAGATGTTTAAAAAACTATGTGCATGTCTAATTTTGCTAGCCACAGTCACAAGGTGCTCCACAGGGTGGCATCAGTTTTTACTTCCCAGCAATGTGTGAGAGTGATCATGAGTGGAGGGAGACCTGTGGGGTTCGAATAATACTCCTGGGTGAGTGTGAATGAACGGATGGGTCGGGCTCAGACCCCCCAATGCTCTCAGAGAAGGTTGGAGGGCGCAGAGGCCCGGGACTGCGGAAAAGGGCTGTGACTTCATCCGAAAGCATCTTGCAGCAAAGTGGGCGGTGTCAGATCAGAAAGTGGCACAGGGCTTTCCAGGCCAGATGACCTGCGTAATGGAGAACCTCTTCAACTTCTCTCTGGGTTCAGGAGTCCCAGGGTGGGCCTGAAAGAGGAGCCGGGGCTGAGAAGGGGGAGGAAGGAAGGAGGAAGCCTGGGGCAGGAGAATGATGGGATCCAGGAAGACCTCCCTGCCTCCCCGGAGGCTGGCGCCCTGCCTGGCTCCAGGTAGGTGCATGAGAAATGTCAGTAAAACACATGCAGCCAAGGAGCTGGGACAAGGTGAAATCTCTTTCCGAAGCCTGAGAAATCCTCCTGCCCATCCTGTGACCAGATGTGACCAGGGCAGAACGTTGGTGGGGCCAGGAGCTGACCCGCCCGCTGTCTCCCAAGTGGCCTTAGTGAGATAGAATCCACTCTCTAGTCCTATTTGGGTTGTTTCTTTTTCTTTTTTTCTGAGTTGGAGTCTCACTCTTGCCACCCAGGCTGGAGTGCAGTGGCACGCTCACAACCACCACAGCCTCAACTTGCTGGGCTCAGGCGATCCCTCTGCCTCAGTCTTCCTAGTAGCTAGAACTACAGACACACGCCACCACGTCTGGCCAGGGTTTTTTTTTTGTGATTTATTGTAGAGACAAGGTCTCACCAAGTTGCCCAGGCTGGCCTCAAACCTGCAGGCTCAGGCAATCCTCTCGTGTCGGCCTCACAAAGTGCTGGGGTTACAGGCTGAGCCACCATGCCCGGCTGGTTGTTTCCTTTTAAAAAATCATCCCTGTATGGGCATGGTGGCTCATGCTATAATCCCAGCACTGTGGGAGGCTGAGGCAGAAGGATTGCTTGAGTGCTTGAGCCTAGGAGTTCGAGACCAGCCTGGGCACATCTCTATTTTTTAAAAAAAGAAGTCGAGCCGGGCTCAGTGGCTCAGGCTGTTATCCCGCACTTTGGGAGGCTGAGGTGAGTGGATTGCCTGAGGCCGCGGGTTTGAGACCTGCCTAGGCAAGCGAGACCTCATCTCTACAATAAATCAAAAATAAGCTGGGCGTGGTAGTGCGTGTCTGTAGTTCCTGCTACTCGGAAGGCTGAGGCGGAAGTATCGCCAGAGACCAGCAGGTCGAGGCTGTGGTGGCCGGGAGTGGCCATTGCACTCCGGTCTGGGCGACAGAGTGGGACTCCGACTCAAAAAAAAAAAAAAAAAAAGAAGTCATGTTGAATTAATCACTCATTTGCCCTGGCATGGTGGCTCATGCCTGTAATTCTAGCACTTTGGGAGGCCAAGGTGAGAGGGTTGCTTGAGGCCAGGAGTTCAAGACTAGCCTGGGCAACGTTGTGAGACCCCATCTTAACCAAAAAAAAAAAAAGACAGTGGTGGCACATGCCTGTAATTCCAGCTACTCAAGAGGTTGAGGCTGGAGGATCACTTGAGCTCAGGAATTTGTGACAGAGTGAGACCCTATCTTTAACAAAGAATCATTCATTCAACAAATATTTATGGAACACCTACTATGTGCCAGGCCCCGCTCTTGCTGTAAGCGAAGTGATCACAGTGCCTGCCTGTGTGGCTCTGACACAAACATATACAAGGGGGGACCAAAAAAACATAGAATCATGTTTTGGAGGGCGGGTCCCGTGTAGTACGGGCTTCCCCCGCCAGGGAAGTATTCTAGGAACCCATCAGCATCCGTGTACCAGCTAGCAGTGTTGAGGCTGTGTTCGGCTTCAGAATTTTTTTTTTTTCAAAGCATTTTCCTGTTTCATGATGGGTAATTGACGAGCACACCTGTCTACACGGCACTGAGTGTTCAGCAGTTTTTGACCCAAAACAGCACGATCCCTGTGCCCCACCCTCCCTATTCACCGGGTCTCTCCTCAGGTGACTAATTTTTTTGTTCTCTGGGTGAAAAAAGTCCTCAAAGAGAAACGTTTTGCCCTGTGGAAGAAGTTGAAACAAAAAGCGCTAGAAGCACTAAAAGACATCCACATCGACACGTTCAAAAACTGTTTTGAGCAGTGGGAAAAGCCTCTGATAGGTGTATTGCGTCAGACGGAGAGGACTTTGAAGGTGACTGAAGTTTAGACATGTAAGACTAAATACATGATTTTTTATATATGAATTTCGGACTTTGGGGGTATGTTAGCAAGTCATGAGAAAGGGAAAAGCAGCCCAGGCAAAGGGAACGACGTGTGCAAAGGCCTGGAGGCAGGAAGGCCCCTGGGTGGTTTGTGGGGTTGGGAGAAGGCCAGTTTGGGGGGAGCTCCCCAGGGCCCAGAGCACACGGGGCCCCAAGGCCATGCCAGAGACTTGTCTTATTCCGAGTGCAATGGCCAGACACTCAGGAAAGGTTTTAAACAGGCAAGGGATGTGATCGAATTTATGTTTCAAAAAGATTATCCGTCTGTGGAGAATGGGCTCAGGAGGGAGACCTGGGCTCTGGGTGCTGGAACTCACCCCACCCCTCTGACAGCCCCTCGGGGCCTGTGTCCCCAGCAGAGAGCCTGGAGCCACTGTAGGAATCTTCCCAGGTTGCCTGCTGAGGAGCACAAGAGGGAACCTGGGACCTCCCTAAACCGAGTTAAACTGAAACAGATCACTTTGTGCCAGGACGTCTCAGCGCCTTTGATGGGAAACTGTGCCCTGGGAACCTTCGAAAAGGGCTTAGAGTATAGCATGTTCTGTATTTACTTTGGAACTGCTTTTCATTGAACATTTTGCTACCAACCTACTCTGAGATTTCCTGCTTGGCTTTCTAGGTGAATGTATCAGTGAGCACTCTTAGTTCCTGCTTTAAATTACAGCTAGGGAACAGATCAGTTCAGTGGCTTGTACCCCCCTTTTTTTTTTTTTTTTAACAGTGGCATGAGCATGGCTCACTGCAGTCTCCAACTCGTGGGCTCAAGTGATCCTCCCGCCTCAGTCTCCTGAATAGCTGGGACTACAGGTGTGCGCCATCACACCATGCTAATTTTTTATATTTTTTTGTAGGGAGGAGGTCTCACTATGTTGCCCAGGCTGGTCTCAAACTCCTGGGCTGAAACCATCCTCCCACCACGGCCTCCCAAAGTGCTGGGATTAGAGGCGTGAGCCACCGTGCTCAACCTTAATCTTAACTGTTAGTCTTAATCAGCCTGTCAATTGCAAGGGTGGCCTGGAAGACTGGGGTGTCAGCCTCTCTCCCCATACCTGTCCTTGTCTTGCAGGCAACACCACCTTGCCTCACCTATTTAGGATTGTCACCCGAAGTAATCACCTCCCTCAATCTCTTTTTTTTCCTCATTGTCTTTTTGTTGGCTTTGGGAGAATTAAGAAATCTACTCTCTCAACACCAAGCTTAGCTGCCCTATTCTACATGGAGACAGTGAGCTCAGCAGTTGTGATCCCTAAGTCTCTCTTGTTTTTTTTGAGTTAGAGTCTCACTCTGTCGCCCAGGCTGGAGTGCAGTGGCACGCTCACAGCCACTGCACCCTCAACCTGCTGGGTTCCAGTGATCCTTCCGCCTCAGCCTTCCAAGTAGCTGGAGCTACAGATGGACGCTACCACACCTGGCTGATTTTTTGATTTGTTGCTTAGGCAGTCTTCTTGCCTTCGCTTCCCAAAGTTCTGGGATTACAGACTTGAACCACTGCGCCCAGCCTTTCCTTCTTTCTTTAAAAGAGATGGAGTCTTGATGCATTGCCCGGGCTAGAGTGTGGCGGCTATTCACAGGTGCCACCCCACTACTGATCAGCATGGAAGTTTTGACCTGTTCCCAGGGGCCCACCTCTCCTTAGGCACCCTGGTGGTCCCCAGCTCCTCAGAGGTCACCATATTGATGCCAAACAGCGTGGACATCAGCATAGCTCATTACAGCTCAGAACTCCTGTCTCAAGTGATCCTCCTGCTGTGGCCTTCCGAGCAGCTGGGGTGAAAGGCATGCGCCACCACGCCCAGCCCCAAGTCTTTTTGTGATGCTCCCAGCACCGCCTGCTGAGACCTGTTTGTCTTTCTGGCTCTATTGTGAAGTGACTGCTGGCCAGTGTCATTGTGCTTGTGCCGTCCACGTGAACATGTTCCAACCCCAGGGACATTGAAAGGGAAATACAAACAAAGAGAAGCAGCTCCCAGAAGTGTTTCAGGGGTTACGTTTTTATTCTACATTATTGGGATGACAGGGAATAGAGCCAGGAGCCACCTCAACACTCCCAGAGGAAGGACAATCAGGACAATTATATACACCTAAAGTGGGCACGGGGCGGGGGATGGTGGCCAGGTCTTCCTGGGCGAGGCTGGAGAGACTTGGGCTTATGCCACCGGGGCCAGGCCCACCTGATTGTTCGCCCTGTCGAAGACGGCAAAGTACTGGCGGATGAAGACATCACCCAGGATCCAGAGCTCCCCAGAGGCCGTGGGGATGTTCATGCTCTGGAAACCGCTGGTGCAGCCCTCCTGGCTCTGGAGACACAAGAAAAAAATGGGAGCTGGGACACAGACTCCACAGAGACGGGTGCTGGGTGAGTCATTCCCAGGGGGTCATGGTCCCGCCTTGTGCGACGATGGGCTTCCTGGCTCCATGGTGGGGCCGCCTGCGTAAACTGGCCACGGTACTGGGTTTCCACGGCTTACTGGACACCATCTGGCCCTTCTGGCAGGTACCCCTGACGTCAGCCTTAGCTGAGGGGTTTAGGGAGAACCCAGCAGCTCGGAGGGAAACTCCCAGCAGCTTGGGGAAAACCCCCAAGCATATAGCCTTTTGTCTTTATTCTGGTTCCGTCCAGCGGCAAACCACACACACTGTGAGTCCTGTCCCCTTGCTAGGTCACGGGGCTTTGCTATTATTATTATTATTTTAATTTATTTTTGTTTTGCAGAGACGAAGTCTTGCTGTGTTGCCCAGGCTGGTCTCGAACTCCTGACTCAAGCAATCCTCCCACCTGGGAGTGCTGGGATGATAGGCATGAGTCACTGCACCTGGCCCACCTGGGGAGCTTTGAGCCCTCCCTCCCACACCCCCTCCTCGTGTAGTCAGAGTCACTGGGAGGGGCCCAGGTGTCAAGTCCTTCTTGTTGGATAACATCAATCCACTGGGCAAAATTAATTTCCCCCTGACATCATAGTGGAAGGCAAAGGATTTTCCTATGGTTCATTTGGCTAAAGATTTGTTCCTTGATAGAGGTGGGGGCGTGCACAAATCCCAGACCTATCAAGCTAGGATTTCCGTTTGTCCAACCCTCGGTGGCTCTGATGGGTCAGTCTTGCTTGATTACCCTAAGCACACTTCAAAGGTGGGAAGCTGCCAGCTCTGGTTTGTAGATGGGGAAACTGAGGCCGAGACAGGCTGCAACTTGCTTAGAGCAAATGGGCTGGTAATTAAGACCCAGGCCTTGGACCCAGGCGTCCAAATAGACAGAATCTTCTTTCCACCCATCTTCCGTCCCTTCCCTTTTTCCCTTAGAGGGCTTCATCCAATTCTATTCCTGCATTTCCTTTTCTTCTTCTTTGTTTTTTCTTTTTCTTTTTTTGAGTCAGGGTCTCACTCTGTCACCCAGGCTGGAGTGCAGTGGGACAATCACGGCTCACTACAACCTCAACCTCCTGGGCTCAGGCAATCCTCCTGCCTCAGCCTCCCAAGTAGCTGGGACTACAGGCGTGCACTACCATGCCTGGCTGATTTTTACTTGTTTTTTGTAGAGATGAGGTCTCACTGTGTTTCCCAGGCTGGCCTTGAACTCCTGGCCTTAAGTAATCCTCCTGTCTCAGCCTCCCAAAGTGCTGGGGTGGTAAGTGTGAGCCACCGTGCCCGGCCTGCATTGACTTTTAATGTATTCTTTTCTTTTGGAGGCTTTCCAGAGCTGATGCCAATCTGTCTCTTGGCTTCAGCTCGGGGAAGTGCACTTTGATTTTGCAGAGGGGGACGATGTGGCCCCATTCTGTGTGGGCCCCTCTGGTGTACAGTCCAGGGCCCCCTACCTGCAGGATGTAGGCGCTGGGAGGCACAGGATACTGGATGCCATTGATGGTGAAGACAATGTCGGGCAGGTTGTTGAGAGCCGAGCAGCTGACCACCATCTGGAAAGGGGGGCGGGGTTAGAAGGGTTTCCTTCTCTTCTGCTGGGCACACCTCCCCCCGCCCCCCTCTTGGGTCTAGTACGTGGCGATTGGGCTGGACTCACCTGGCCATTGGAGTTCTCGCTGGCTCCGATGTAGCCCTGGATATTGGCGATGGGGCTGGCCGGGCCAGACAGCAGAGAGGTGCCAGTGTCAACGATAGCCTGGCAGCCCTGGGCGCAAGCGATGGCCTCGCCGTTCATGGTGATGCTGAGGGCGAGATGCAAGCAAGGTTCCTCTGAGCCCCCGGGGGGCACGTCTCCCCAGGGAGGAGCCAGGGGACCTCCACCTTCCCTCCCCTCATCCATTGGCCGATGCATAAAATGTCATTCTCTCTCATCCATCACACATTCATTCATTCAACAAACATTTCCTGAGCACCTACTCCGTGCCAGGCTAAACAAAGACAGCCACACCGTTTCTGGCTGAAGGGAGCTCCTGGCCCAGCTGGCAAGGTAAGAACCATTAACAGATGAGGGGGATGAGCAGGACCCATAGCACGGAGCAGAGACAGGGTCCGGGATGAGGGGGTCCTGGGGGAGCAGCCTGGAAAGCTTCTCAGGGGAGGAGATGGGGGGTGCGGGGGGTGGGCTTGCCAGGCAGCCAGAGGGGCGGGGCGGGACTTGGAGGAGTGATGTTTCAGCATGGCCAGGCAGGCATGAGATGCCTGGTGCATCCAGGTTTGCCCAGGAGGGTCCCAGTTTTAGTTCTGAAAGTCTTGCATCCTGGCAAGACCTGCACGATGGGCACTCTAGCAGCCAGCCAAGGGCTGAACAGCCGGAAGCGAGGCTGCCGTGGGGAGGATGGAAGGGCCCGGAAGCAGCTTCTCAACCCCAAATCAATTTCTCAGACGTCACCCCACCCATAGGCTGAAAGTGACACCTTTCCGGAGTGGGAGGAGCGTGCGCTGGCTCCCAGGCTCCTAAGCGCTGAGATGTGTGGACAGGTGGGTCCTCCAGCTCTGCCCAGGAATGCAGGTGACCTCCTGCCTCCTTGGCCCAAAGGAACGCGGTGTCTCATCCTGGCAGACAGGATTCTGGAGTTCCCAGACAGCCTCCCTCCCTTTCCCGCGAGGCGCCTTTCTTGGGGACTCTCTGGCTCGGCCAGCTTCCAGCTTCCTCCTAGAGTGTGCTCCCCCGGGGTGGCTGCTCCAAGGGGATTCTGGGAAGCTGGCTGAGATGAGTCCCCAACAGAATAGAGTCTGGGGCCCATGCAGACCCGGCCCACCCGCGGTGGTCTTACCTGTCCACAGTGATCTGCCAGTAGCCCTCGGCAGAAAGAGGCACCCAGTTCAGATTTCCAGTGTAGTAAGAAGAGTCGATGCCACCAAACATCACCACGCTGCCACTCTGGTCATTGCTGTGGAAAGTGAGAAGACGGGAATTCATTCATTATCGAGACGTCTGCTCTATACATCCTCAGAGCCACCCTTCACTGGGCCCTTGCCAGGACCTTTGCTGAGGTGTGACAGACATGGTTTCTTTTTCCTCTTACATCAAGACCCATGCAGTGGTCACTGCTATTATTATTTCCTCTTTACAGTTAAGATACTGAGACTCAGGTGAGGCAACTTGCCCAAGGTCATATAGCTGCAGGGGGTGGCAAAACCCAGATGAGAAGAACCCAGACGTTTGGGTTCCAAGTGTGTGGTTTTCACTACAAATACTCATTCTGGTTGCCAGGAGCCCCACGGAGATGTGAATGTGTGACAATGTTGGTGCTTTTTTTTTTTTTTTTGAGTTGGGGTTTTATTCTGTTACCCAGGCTGGACTGCAGTGGCACCATCACAGCTCGCTGCAGCCTCAACCTCTGGAACTCAGGCGGTACTCCCTCCTCAGCCACCTGATTAGCTGGGACTACAGGCACTCAACACCACACCTGGCTAATTTTTTTCAGTTATTGTAGAAACGAGGTCTTGCTATGTTGGCCAGGCTGGTCTCAAACTCCTAGGCTCAAAAAAAGATGTAAGTCCTGATCAAATCTTGTTTTCATTTTTGCTATGAAATTTTGGTCCCTGTTTTAAGAGGATTCACTTTGTTTTGTTTTGTTTTAATTTTAGAAAGAAGGATTTATTAAGAGGACAGAAAAACTCCCATAGTGGGAGGGGACCGGAAGGGGTTGCCCAAGAAGATTCACTTTGAATGGTGTCTTCTAAGGGTTTAGGATGAGGGAACTGGCACTGGCAGGCAGATGGCCACAACATCTGATTTTGAATTTTTTGAGTTGGAGTCTCACTCTGTTGCCCTGGGTCGAGTGCAGTGGAATGATCATGGCCACTGCAGCCTCGACCTGCTGGACTTGGGTGATCCTTCTGCCTCAACCTTCCAAGTAGCTGGAACTACAGGCCTGCGCCACCATGCCAGGCTAATTTTTTGATTTATTGTAGAGATGAGGTCTCGCCAAGTTGTACAGGCTGTTCTTGAACCCTAGGGCTCAGCTATTCCTCTCATCTTGGCCTCCCAAGGTGACCATGACATTGATTTTGAATCTTTTGAGTTGGAGTGTCATTCTGTTGCCAAAGCTCGAGTGCAGTGGCACGATCACGGCTCACGGCAGCCTCGACCTCCCGGGCTTGGTCGTGACATTTGAGTTGTGCAAGGCAAAGCTTCGCGCTGGTGGAAGGAGACAGAATGCCCACGGTGCCTGGCATCATTACCCTCTAAACACACGCTTCTCCAGCGGCAGGCACTGACTCTCCAAAGCTCTTGCTCTCCGAGACCCTCTTCCCCTCAGCAAGCCCTGGACAGCTCCCTGCTGGGCCAGGCGACCTTGACCTCTGGGGAGGCCCCTCCCGACCCAACTTACGAGCTCAGGTAGACGGAGAAGAGGTCCTGAGAGACCAGGCCTTGGTTCCACATGTTGTCAAAGACGGGGGTGGCCCCGGAGGAGGCGATGTTTGGGTAAGCCAACCCCAGGATGCCGTCGAAGGGCGAATAGTATAGGAAGGAGCCGGGCTCGGTCTCGCTCAGCCCAAAGATCTGGTTGGTGTCAGCGATGCCTCCGACCTGTGGGGGGACCAAGGTCACGTCCAACGGCCCTGGGCCTGATGCGACCCTGGCTCATTTCGTGCGGGACCAGGCTCCTGGGGGCCCAGGCTGGAAGCGGGGGAGAGGGACTGTCCCCTAGAATGCTTGCTCCTCTGTTGGAGGTGACCGTGGCAACTGGCTGATCTCCAGATGACCCTGGCCTATGACTCGGCGTGAGAGCAGGTGGCCACCATGTGTCTGTGTTTCTAATGGTCGGATGCAAAGCAGAGCCCAGGCACATCAGGGCTCTTGGCCCCTGCCAGGTTCTAAAATTTAGGAGAGGAGGCTTGTAGAGCGATTGCGACTTGGTTGGGAGAGGAGGAGGAGCTAATAGGTAATTGCGCCTCTGCTTACCTTCTCCTCATCCCTCTGGAAGGTTCCACGTGGGTGGGGCTGAGACTGGCTTATGGCTCTGGGCACTCACCCCCTTGCCCACACTGCCCCAGATAGAAGAGTCCGTGCTTCCCTTCCCCACACCCAGTCAGGTTACTTCTTTTAGGCTTTTTTTTTTTGAGTCAGTGTCTCACTCTGTTGCCCAGGCTGGAGTGCAGTGGCTTGATTGCGGCTCATCTCAGCCTCTGATTCCTGGGCTGAAGCAATCCTCCCACCTCAGCTTCCTGAGTAGCTGGGACTCTAGGTGTGCACCACCATGTCCACCTAATTTTTTTTGTTTTTTTTTGTAGAGACGAGGTCTTTCTGTGTTGCCCAGGCTGATCTCGAACTACTGGGCTCAAACAATCCTCTTGCCTCGGCCTCCCAAAATGCTGAGATGACAGGGGTGGGCCATGGCACCCAATCAGGTGACTTTTGTGATTGCTGAAAGACTCATCTTGCTTCAAGGAGCTTATTTTGGGGGAACATGGTGGTCCCCAAAGTCCCCAGAAGCTGGCCCCGGGGCTGGGCAGGGAGAAAAGGCTGCTCACAGGTACACACCTGGACGGTGTCGTATCCGAGGATGCCCGTCATGCTGCCGGTGCCATAGGCGATGGAGACCGTCTGGCTGGTGGCCTGGTAGGTGGAGGACTGCTGAGGGTTGAAGCGGTTGTGGTTGGCTGCAAGGGCAAGGTGACACCATCAGCCTCCAGAAGCTG